GTGTTGGCTGGGCAGAGCCAGGAAAGCGAGCCGCGGGTGTTTCCTGGCTCTGGCTAGCCCGCACAGCTCCGGCGCGGCCCTGGTGAGATGAGCGGAGGTTTTTAAAATAATTTGCTTTGCCTTCAAAGGCAAAGGGAAGGCGGCGACAGGAGCGCCTGAAGCCAAGTATACCAACAACAAAAGGCAAATCCTCAAGTGGGCTGGAGGGAGGTGGCTGCGTGCCCCCCGGGCTGCTTCAATGCAAGGTCCTGACCTTGCCCAATTGCAGCATCCTGCCATTGCCGCCGCGTCCTTTTTGCCGCCGCCTCCCTCTCTGACTGCGAAACTCGCGTGCTTCGCCAAACGCTCCAAGCGAGGCGAGCTCTTTCATACACACACACACACACACAGAGAGAGAGAGAGAGATGCCAGCGTGCTCCGAGAAGCTGGCTCTTTTCTCTAGCCGAGGCTGACGTCTGACTGAATCTCTATCCCGCTCCTTTATCCTCAGGACGGGGTCGGCAGCAACGCTCTCTGGTGCGGCCACCTCAGCTTGCCAGCCTTGCCCCGCTATGAGACGATACTGTGACAGCCGCCGCTGCCGCGCTCCCTTCTCTTTCCTCGCCTCTGCTCCCTTCGCCGGCAGGAGCGTGTGCGCCTGCTGCCACCGCCGCCGCTCCTGAGGCCGGCTGGGGCGGGCAAGCAAGCAAGGCGGCTGCGCTGTCTTCTTTTTCCCTCAGTGAAGCGCCGCCGTTTGCCGCCGCCACCACCACCTGCGACGGGCGAGGAGAAGGTGGCGGAGGCGCCTGAATTGTTCCAATTTGCTTGTCCGAGCAAAGCGCGAGCACTGAGTCTCCTGATAGGAAGTGCCCCACCAACGCAGGCAGCATCATATCCAGGCATGCAACAAAGTACTTCCTAACGGCAAGCCCCCCCCCATTCCCCCCCATTTCACGTTTAAAAAGGGCCTTAATTTGGGGGGAGGGGCTTAATTTGATTTTATGCCAATAAATCATGCTGGGGCTTCCTATTGGTGGAGGCCGTATTGTTGGAGAAACACGGTACTTAAACTTTACCAGAATAAGAAAGGCCTTATTTCCTAAGCATATAGTCTGATCATATTTGTAGGCAGGCAAACCTCCAAAGCTGATTTTAAATTATGTTAAATTGCAGACACTGTTATAGATGAAAGTACTGTTTGTGATGCCGGACCATTGTAGATGTTAAAACTGCCAGTGCATTTTCTGTACCCAATCAGTGCAAATCATTATCTCACAGATAACTTTATAAGATCTATAAACAATAAACAAACAAACAAACAAACCAACTAACCCACCCACCCACTCCGACTTAGCTTCTTTGGCCAGCAATAAATCTAAACTCCCAAACTGTATACTATGTAGTTCAGAGGGAATAATATACAAGAATAAATGCAAATAGTAAAGAACTTACAAAGCTGAAAAGACATAATTTTCTTCCTTTTTAAAGTTTCCTTTGAAAGGAAACTCACCAGAAACTGGTAGATTTGCAGTTTCAAATATTTTTCAATCTTAAAAGGTCAATTTAAAAAAGTAAAGCTCTGAAGTAATTAAAAAGATGAGGTTTGATTTAAAAGTTGAGGTTTGATCAAGTATATGAAAGGCTGCATTTATGGCTGAGAGCATGATGGAACCCATAATTCACAACTGAAGTAGTGGCTACAAAACATCAAATTCTGCAGTCTACTCATAAAAATCAGGTGTTCAAGCACCTTTGGGCAATATTTGTTCCAGAGACAATTTTGGCAGTTTGGATCTCACACCCAGCTGCCTTTTCGACCATAATATTCCCACAATCAGCAGAGCAGAGAAAAATGTGCCTTGCCTCATCAGCCTAAAAGCTCCTGTTGATTTCACCATATTGTTTAGCTAAAATTATTTACTAGTAAACAAGGCATGACAACTTCTGTTCCAACTCTTTCTCAAGATATTTGCAACTTGAAATTAAAAGGGCATTGCAACATATTTTTCTGTACACAAGATTGCAGCCTAAATTTCCTCCTATTGCATTTTCAAGTTATGTTAACCTAACCAGTACATCTACATGGCTGTTTCTAACACCTGACCTATATTCTACTTTAAGGATATTGTTGGCATTGTTTCTGATACAGTCTAGCACAGCTACCTCCCTTGACTCTGATTGGCAGTAGGTGGCCTCTTCCATCTACCTATAATCCTTGAAAGTTCATCAGCACTGAGTAGCAGATCCACAGCAGTTGCCTTTTCAAGTCTTCAGTGAGTCTTTTTCTGAATCTCACCCAATTTACTTTTTTCAGCAATCTCCTCTGGACGTCCTCTGAAGCTAACAAGGCTTTGTCATCCAATATGATATACCATCCTTTCAAAATTCGAAAAGCCAGCCCACATTACTTTTCATTAAAATAACAAATTTTCAAAACCATTGCTACCTAGAGCCATATTAGAAGCTAATCTTTACACCTTCTACATCCAAGTTCTCCTAGTTCTCCCTTTCCTTTGTGGAAAAAGAAATCTAGCTCAACAGCTCCTTCTCCTACAACATTTTTGTATGGAAAACTAAACTATCACTTCTGTTTATCTGCTTTTTAGAACAGTGTTTCTTGGGGTTTCTGCATGGATATGTGAAGTGTTGATAAGAAGCCTTGACTGAATCCAAGCTGTCACAAGGAGATTAAAAAACTTGAATTCACTGTATTATTTTTTAAACTTTGAAATTTAATATTACATTACACTAAGTGTGCCAAAGATGCCAAACTTATTCAACCACATCAGTGACAGGAACTTAATTAGTCAGATTTCTGCACATGGCAAAGCATTCCAAAGGGCCCCTTAAGCTTAGAATAGCTTCAAGGCTATTTTCATTTTTGTAAAATGCAAGACATTATTAGTACAAGTATTATTATTAGTTTTTTTCCTTTTCTTGAGGTTCTGGAAATTGAGCAACCTCACAATTTCTGGACATAGGCCCTGGAACTTGAACCAAAATCAGGACACTAAGAGGATTGGTTTGTTAAGGCTCAGAACTTCAAAATAATTTTGCTTCAGAGTTTTTATTATATTTGGTACAACAAATTAATAAAGTTTCAGAATTTCTAGCATCAGAATTTTATCAAGAACTGAATTAAGCAACAATATTGATAGAACGATACTGCTTCACTGAATAAATACTTTTAACAGAAAAAACCCACTAGACTACTGTTTCTAGAGAAGCAATTTTTAGGTGAATTGGTAAAATCTTGTCTCTTAAAATTTACCATTCAAAACAAAAAGTATCAAGGCAGTACAATAATAATTATTACATGTGATAGTAAAGCCCAAGTTCACAAACATCAGCTTTAAATGAAATAGAACATCATATAAAATGCTGCAAAGCAACTTACTTAAAACCTTTGTGATGGCACTCTGGAGGAAGAGTGGTAGGTAGAAACAGTTCAAAATAAGTGATAGCTTTTTGCATGGTGACATCAAAAGGACACATTAATGGGCGCCATTCGTCTAACATCTCTGCTGTGGCACTTTCTGGGAAATAACTAACAAGAAGAAGGATTTTTGCAGCAACATGTTTTACTTACTTAATAAGTAATCCCTATCAATAAATCTGAGATACAATTCATTAAGAAACAATAATAAGATATAACAATAAAAAATTACACATTAAACATGTTTCTGAGACCAAAGATATTCACAGCATGGAAAAATCACTGCTGTTGCCAGCTCTGTCTCATACAGTAGGGCATTTCATAATTAGACTTCTATATCCAAGAGAATCCTCTCCCAATAAAGGAGAATATTTGTAGCTCAGAGTTGAAATGAGAGGTTCTTGGTGCTCTCTGAGCCTTGTTGTTTTCTTGGAGATGTTTCACTGAAAATGTTGTCTACTGTGGTTTGGGTATAATGAATCATCTGTAAGAAAACAGCTAAGCTCAGAGAGAACCAAGGCCCCTCATTTCAATCCTAAACTACAAATATTCTGTTTTATAGGCCTGTCACAATTAAATGAGTCAAAAATATGTCCTGCGTTCATGCTCCTTGTTTTCTGAGCAGCTTTTCTGAAATAAAATGTAAAGCATTGTATAGCGTGGGACTCTTAATTTCTTAATAGAAACTTTCTCATTATATTTTGCATAATCCTTTGAAATAATTTTGTGGTCCATCAATAGTATTTTAGGGCAACTGCCAGGATTCAGAATTTCTCCAGTTCAAATAAAACACTGAAATCACTGAATTATCTTCTATAAGGTGATCTAATGCAGGCACGATAATTATTTAAGATACATGCACTGTAATTTCTGCAATTTTGCAAATTTTAAAACACTTTAAAATAATGCAAGAGATATCTTGAAATATAACCATGGAAATGTAAAAGTTGAATAGTCACTTTATCTGGCCCCTTGTTGTCCCTCATATATAAAGCAGGGATAATTTTCAGTAATGGGAAATTTCCAAACTTTTTTTAGCTAAACCTTGTTAGCATTCTAAGCAACCTATTTATCTGACACATTTTCTACTCCATCACTGAAGGTACAACTTAACCAGAGGACTCATGTTACTAGCAATAAGGCCCTATGAACGCATCATTTTTTTCAATTTCATAAAGAAGACCGCTACTTATGTGCAAGGTAGTCTCACTATCAAAGAGTTTAAAAAGTACATAAAAATTGAAAATGGTTAAAGTACTTACAGCCGACAATTTTTCACAAGAGTCTTCAAAACACTTTCTACTGAGCTAAAAGAAGAGCAAAAAAGGAAAAAAGGTAAATAAATTACAGTATGCTACTTTATAAGAAGAATATAGCTATATAATTATGCAAAGCCTAAGGTGTATTGATTCAATTTCCCATTATCTATGTACATGCAGCATCTTTTACTTAAAGATACATACTTAGTTACAAGTATTACACTTGATTTTTGACTTTGTTTCTATTTCCCCTGGAGTACTGCTTGGGCTACACATGGAATCATGTTTTTCCTTGTATCCCAAATACTATACTGAGTGTGCTTCAGTTTTTAAAAACAAAAAGTCACATAATAGTAAATCAGGTTTTAAAATATAACTGAGTAAACTGCATCATACATGCAAACTTACTTGCCAATTATTTTCACTGTTAACATATTTTGAGATACTACATGTTTTTAAAAGCCTTATCTTATTATGTCCAAAGGAAGTATCCCTGGACAATTGTTGTATATATTGACAAGAGCATTCAAGGGCACTCAAGCAATGGCTTATTTCAAAATGCTCTATAATACGGATTATCTAGTCTTATTTCAAGCTGTTTTCTGGTGCACTTTTGGCACTGAAACCTCTTAACAGTTTGTCAAATTGTCTTCTGGACTGATTATCTACACTTAGATAAATGCTTTAAATGATTCTGATCTCATCTGATGCATCTGTTTCAAAAAGTATTGAGGAACTAATCTGATTTTTTTTCATAAAATAATTTTGCTACAGTTCCACACTGCTCTATTTGTTTTCTGTGAATTCTAACACCCTCACAATTAGAAAAATAAATCTAGAAATTTGGATTATAGGATTATCAATATCCTTGTAACAATCAGATTTTTCCACCTGCCTAGTTCAGACACGACAGCTCAGTTATATAGTATGTTGTTGCAATTCACATAAAAGGAATATATTTAAGTAGAGTATGACTTTGCCAAGAATTAAAATGGCACATGCATTTCAGAGTGTCTCCTATCAGATCTTTTGAGGTGTCAGAAGCGTATATCTTAAGATAAAAATGATTCTGCCACAGGAATTCATGCTTCTGGAAAATTATGGTTCTATTGTAACCATAAGTCTACCTCTGCAAAGGTGAAATTTTCATCTACTAGTAATTTTCAAATAAAGTGATGTAATTCATAATACACATTTCCTAGATCTCATTACATTAGTGAGTATTAAATAAAAAATGTTAACTAAAAATATCTCTGCAATCAGACTTTTGAAGATCTAAATAAGGATCAAAGTATTTTAACAATTCACTTTTCCTTTATTAAACTGCCTATTTCATAGAGTAACTAAGACAGGTTCCTATCTTCATAATTACAGTTAGCTGTGTTGATGGACCTTTAATAGTGTCATATCTCTGAAGTACCCTCCCCAGAAATGCAGACTGTATTACAATAACTGTAAATTAAAAATATTTATCCTTTGATATTCTCTCTCTCTGGCTGTGTATAGTTGTTACTGCATTCTTACTAAATTTAACAGTTATTTGGGAGCTTCTAATATTGAATTAATTTTGAATTATTTAAAAAGTTCTCCAACTAGGAAGGATTGGCAGAAATATTTAAAAATAGGAAAAACATAAAATATTCTTTACTGATTTTTCATGAACTTGTTTCTTCATGGTTTTAAACAGGAATAGTGGTATATTTTAGAAGATTGGTTTTATTTTTAAAAATCATATACATGCCATTTCTTTTCTATTTGAACTATCCTAGTCTGAGTGATACCTATGACTTACTAGAATTAAGAAGCAGTACAAAAATAAGCAACATTCTCCTGGCACAATAATGATATTAATATTCAAATCTATACTGCACTGCACTCAAGAGAGTGAAACTTCTAGTAGTGTTAAATTCTGCCTCATATAAAAGTCATTTTCATTCAGACTAGCTCATCTAAAAAAGAAACATACTCTTGACTAAAATAGAAACTCAGTAACGGTTTTCTGCCTACAAAATAATATCCTACACTTAGAAGGATTCTAGGAGTTAAATTACCTAAAAGGCAAAAATGTAGAAGCAAGAAGCTAAACAAAAGCTAACTGTAAAGCCCTTGCTATCCAACCTTTTTTTTTAAAATCATAAATACTTGATAAATCAAAAGGCAGTTCTGTCTCTGAAGTCACAGAACATTGCTAAAACAAAGTATGACTGCAGACTCTGGAGATAGTCATAAATGCCCACCAGTTGCAAAAGATTCACATTTTGAACACATCATTATGGAGATGCTGTAACTGTTTTAAATGTGACAAATGGTCGTAAAATTATTTTTCAACCCAGTGTAATTTTGAATAGTTTCTAAACAGGGCAGATGTTAAGCAAGAACAACCTGTATATGATAAATAAGCCATGTTGCTTTTCTACGGGAATTGTTAAGTCCCACTATTTTTTCCCCAAGTTCACCATTGTACACTTCCAAAAACCTAGTCCATCAAGGGGTTGTGTTCAAGATCCACCTACTTAATCTGCCAAGGAAAGATAGTGGAAGGGAAAGGAGTGTGAGTGGCTGAAAATGCAAGGCACCCCATTATATAATCTGCTGCCAAACTTCCAGAAATGATTGGTTGAAGCATCCAAGCCATTCCCAATACCGCCTGCTGAATTGAAGAAACCACCGATGTAGTAAAGCCTTGCCAATATTCTCCTGGATACCAAACAGCAGTCACTGAATCTTAGACTCAGATGATGTCATTGTGTCATACAAATTTCAGTAGTAAGAAGGTATGGCTGAGTTAGTTAGTGGCTGACAAGGTTAAGCAAGCTGAGTGAATGCAGTGAGTGAGCATTTGTCTAAACTGTTTGTTGTTAATTTTTTTACATAGCAAAGAATCTGTTATACTGCATAATGGCAATTAATTACATTTAAGACTGGAATCCTAAAAATACTTAAGTTAGTGTGTATTGTTATCACAAACTGAACTGCAGGTATAAGCTAACGTTGTTTTAAATTCATATAACTCTTATTCTACATTTTTAGTCATTCTATCAACCTATGTATTGAATTTAATTCATGCACTTCCAGAACATTCTACAAATTATGCCTAAAATCAAGTATGATTTATATTAAGCATCTTAACTATAACTTATTTGTTAACAGGCAATTAGCAATTAGTTATAATTTTCAGCCACTTCACACACAATATTTTTAATTGTAACTCAATTTAAATACAGTGCGACATTCCCATAAATTGTGGTGTCATGTTAACATTGGATTTTTCAGTTTTATATGCAGGAAGTTACAGGTACATGACAAATGTTACAACGGAACAGGCCATGCACAAAGAAAACAAATAGGCCAGAGCTACATAAAAGCAAAATAATTGTCCTTACCACCTATGTAAAACATTAAGCACAAATGTTTTAGGTGAAGACAAGCCTGGTCGACATGAACTGAACATAAAGAAAAAAAGATTTTAAAACAAAATAATGAAAAAAGCAATTGTAGCATTTAAACCAACTAATGTTAAAGCCACAAAAATCATTATTCATAATCCTTTTATTTTTAATTCATTCTTCCAAATTCATCCAAAGTGAAATATCAATTGTAAGCAATGTTGTCAGAACACCATGAAAGAAAAAGTCGCACTGCACCATTTAATTTCAAAACCAGCCAGCCCGAAAAATGGAAAGGTTGCTTTGGCATTTATTGCTTTCCCTTTAGTCCCTTTTCAGTTTTCATCTGGGAATCTATTGCTCAAAAGCAGACTAAGCATTAAAAATATTATTTAGTATTTCTTAATTCAGTTTGCTTGATTGAGGACAAAATTATTAATCTAGAAATAACTTGGAAGTAAGTACATGTCTTGCCAAATAAGTTAAAAATTCAATGATTAGTGCCACTGTTTAAAAGACTGTAAACAGCAGGAAGGCTAGAAATGGGTTTGTTTCAAACACTGCCCCTTAGCATCAAATAGCTAGATATTCTAAGACTAAAATTACTATACTGTATAGGATAAATTCAAAGTTAAGAAAGGAATTTTCCTCATAGAGGTAGATAGAAGAAATGTTACATGTTAAATCAGATAAAACCAACTCAATAATATCTGCTTTGATGGCATCAGCTATGTAGGGCTTAAAGGATTTTTCTAGCCTTACAAGCCATAATGCTATTGTCTAAAAATGCAATAGATTAAAACCTGATCATCACACATGCAAAGCACATCTAAAATATGCCTTGTCTCCACCAAAGCATTAGTTTCCAAAAGCAGATAGACTATAGTTTTGTGCAGGCATTCGGTCTACTCATACAAGAGCTAAAAGCCAGGAAGGAATATGGCCAGATGCATTCTCAACTCTCAAAGTTCTCATTCTTCAAATCTATAACCTATCTACACTGAATAAAAAGCACAAAGGAAGTTTTTATTTGCTGGGATAGTATTTACATACCCATATTTCCTAGTACATTAAACTCTCCAGTAAACCTACAAAGTGTATGCATAAGGCTTATGTACTTTTCTATTTTGGAATATGAATGGTCAGTTTTCATTTCATATCTTATAAAGTCTGAAAAATATTTTTCTCCAAAATAGGGCTATCATATCTGGATTATAAAAATCCACAAAGATCTTTTAAGTTTTTGCTGACATTAATGACTCCTTGGATTTTTTTTAACTCAGTGACGGGAGGACTAAACTTTTTTTTTAATAGCTAAAGTATTCCTTTAATAAAATATAACCATGTTGCTTATTTGTGAACCACAAATTAAAAATGGGAAAAAAAGAAAAGAAAAATGAACATCTGCCGCAAAGGAAATATGAAATTATTTAAAATTTATTTTAGATTCAGATCAGTGAAAGAAAATATATAAAATACAAGCAATAAAATTCAACCAAAATGTAACTAAGAACAGTGTGAGGATATTGTGAAAATAAAACAAAACCTTTAAAAACTTACTTTGGAAACCAATTTAATCCAAGATGTTCTGTCTTAGAATACAATATACGTTCCAGCATTTCATAAAGTGGTCTCCAGGGCAATTCTAAATCATCTCTTGACAAAAGTTCTTTTTTTCTAAGTTAAAAAACACGCATACAGACAGGAATTGAATTTGAATCATTACTCACTGACAATTAAGCTGACAACCTAAAATATTCTAAGAAAACTTCTTTGAGTGACTGTATAAAATTGAAGATCCAGATCTAACTCTTATAATAGTATAAAAAAGGTTATTTTAATCAGGATTACCTGTTAATCAACTATCAAATTAGATTATATCTAGATTTATGTATGATTAATGGGGGAAAAAGGAGAAATGTAATGCTAGAAAACTACATTATCCAACTATTCATTTACCGTATTTCTGGTTGAGATATCAATATTATATCAAAACTGGTACTCAACATATTCATTGATCCTATTCTATCCTTAAACTAGCGTAAACCAGTATAATTTGTAGCAATAGAAATTACAAGGTGGATATATACATCTAAGGATGATAAATGCAAAAATTAGAGATATATAGTGGTTGGTTTTTAATGCATTTTGAAAATGCAAGGCTGTACTATATGATCAAGTCTCTAATCTTTCCCCAAACTTAGGAAAAAAGTAAGAGCATTTGCTGCTTTAGTCTGGCTAGGTTTTTGCTACTTCTGATTACCTATATAAGGCCAGCATGAAACAAAATACCAATCAAACCTGACAAAAATCTGTTGAATCTCTTAGTTTTAACACTAACTATCCATATCTCCAGCTATGGATCATTATTGATATAGATAGAAGAACGAAGTAAAACCAAACTTACTTCAGCAAGTTTATTAAAAGTCGAGCAAAACCTTGCATCATGCTGATCTCCAATTTTGGAATAGTTACTAGTTCATACAACAGCTTAATGAAAAGAACATGATCTTCTTTACTAAACTTTCTCCCATACAGCCGGAGATACCTGTAAAAAAGAAAATTTAAAATACTCTAGATATTTCATTTTATCAACATCCTCATATTAGTGTATACAATGCAAAAAAAGTAAATATAATCATAATGAATGGAAAAGTACAAAAAACAAATATTAGGTATAATAAAATTATTCGTAGTGAATTCACATCAAGACAACTTACAAATGTTATCTAAATGCAGACCTGTTAAGATATTCCTTTTGGGGTTATACAATATGCAAATGACAGAAAAAGAATAATAGCAAGCCACAAGAATTAAAGAGGAGGAAAGAAGAAAGTATATCTATATCTAATTCATTTAGTTGTTCATTATATCCATTATGTTATTCTACTATTCACACAAATCATCCTTACTTCTCCATACTCATACACCACCTCATATGTTGCCTTTTCTTTAAACTCTTTTGAGAATTTCATCAATTTCGTCTACCATGATTCGTATATTTGCATCTGTCAACAGACATCCTAAAGTAACCATAAGTATTATGTTTGTATTTATTCATAAATATATTAAATAATTAAAGGGAAATCGCATATCCTTCTTTCACTCCTTGCTCAATGTTGAACCATTCACCAAGCATACCATTAACTCTCAAGCAAGGTTTATTTCAATTGTGCACTATTCCTGTCATGTTCAGCTTCCAGCCACTGATCTGCATATTCAAGCAAATCATTCCACAATTCACAATTTCTATTTTATCATTGGCTTTAAGTCAACAAACATAATAAACTTTCTCACATTCATACGCATATCAAAGGTCTGTAGAAACTATTTGAACTATATACCCCTGCCTTGTATTTTGTAGATATCAAGATAGTAACCAGATGGGCAGTGTGTTGAATGAGCTGGTGTAGATGGTTTGAGTTTTGTTGATTTTTTTATCCCCCCTCATCCACTCTAGTGTTGTGGAAATACTCCATTAAAGAACTATGCGGGGGGGGGGCAGCTCCCTTGCCCACTGCAAAGCCCCAAGTACAGCCAAAGTCTTGATGGTTGCTGGAGTTCATGAAGCAAGGGAGAGAGAGAAGGAGGGAGAGGGCAGGGCGGGAGAGCGGGAAGGCAGCAGGGAGGGAGGGAGGGAGGGAGGGAGGGAGGGAGGGAGAGAGGGAGAGAGAGAGAGAGAGAGAGAGAGAGAGCAAGAGAAAGAGAGACAGAGACAGAGACAGAGAAAGAGACAGACAGACAGACAGACAGACTGACTACTTGTCTTTTTCTCTCGCTTCCCTCCCTTGCTTTATTAAGGTCTGGCATCTGCAAAGGGTGCAGATATTGTGGAGGCAGCAAAGAGTCACTAGCATAATTTCAATGCTATGGATTTATCTCTCTCTGGTTGCCTTTCAACTCACTGGTGTTACTTCTTTCTGCAGGAAGACAATCATTTCAAATGAAGTACCACAAGTGTTGCCTGGAGTGCTGTGGGAGAAAGACTCACATGACTCTGATATGGTTATGAGCCTGTATTGGGGATTATCTTATAGCAATAACACAGGAAAATATCAATATTTCTTTGCCCATATTTTATCCATTGTCCAGTGGTTTTGTTTACTGTTCCCTATAGGGTTGGGAACTCAATTTATTGATGATCCAAGAAGACTATTCAGGGTATCTGTTGGATAAAACTGTTTAGGTTTGCTTCAACTCGGACTCTGACTGAGAAGTATGATGTAGCTGGGGCATGGTCTATTGGTATTATCTGGGATGAATCTGAGCTAGTGACTCCTGAGCAAGTAGAGAGGGTTGTCTATGGTTTTTGTTAGCTTTTTGATGTAGTCCAGGTCAGGAAACCAAAACCAAGAATACTAAAATTTATTGTAAGGTGACAACAGAACCTTGCAAATCTGAAAGCATTCCCTCCCCCCACCACCACCACCACCTTTATGTCCCAGATAACTAGTGAGAGTCAATTCTGAGACACATTCTCCATCCCCAGTCCTGCTCTGGATTCAGATTTCTCTTCTAGGAAAGTTGTTTAGGTTGCATTTTTCAAGGTGATTCTCATAGCCCATTGCAGTTTTTGATAACTATAAAATGATTCATACCCTTCTTTTTGAGGGAACTTTGTTGAGAAGACAGTTGGTCTGCAGCTCATGAGAACCCTTGAGAAACAGATTATCTAGACTTGCTTTTGTCAGTTTTCAAACTGGGATTTAATAATGAGACAACTTTGGTCATACTTATAGATGGCTTGTGGCAGAGTCAGGATGGAGGTAGTACATTCATTCCTGTGATCCTTGATTTCACAATGGCGTTCAATACCAATGACCATGATAGCTCCATGTGTTGGGAATTGGGGACACTGTTTCATGGTGATTCTCTTCCTTTCTATAGGGCTGGTTCCAGTTAGTGTTAATTGAAAGGGAGAGAGTTGCATCGTTGCCCCTTTGTGGGGTACTGCAGGGTTCTATTCTCTCTCCTCCTTTTCACATCTACATGAAATTGCTGGGTGAAGTCATCCACCTTTTGGGGTTTGATATCATCACTACATTGATAGCCAATTATATCTTTTGATGACAGTATGGTCAAGTGAGGCTGCCCATGTCCAATCCCAGTGCCTACATATAATACCTCTGCTTTATGAAAAATTAAACAATGCAATTTATCAGCAAAATCAGTAATACCTGTTAGGGTGTATATATAAACTCTTACTTAAATATAATACAGAAAAAAGAAAATTGAATGATAAAATGGATGCAAAATTTGAAAGAAAGTTACAATAAAACAATAGGAAAAAATACAGACATAATTTGTAAAATTCATATTACAACTTAAAGGAAACTTGGACTAAAATATTTTACAGATAGTACACGACTCCATCAACAATACCTAAGATGGACAAATCATACAGTAATAAATGTTGGAAATGCTATGAGACAAGAGGCAGATAATGTTGGAATTTAAACTTGATATGAAGCTACAATTGTCCTTATTAGATATAATCTTAGGGAAAAATAATATAATAATTTAATGTGATATAGCGAGAATAAACTTTGCTCAAAGGCACAATTTGGAAAAAGGCACAATCCCAACAATATCTGATTGGGAACTTAGAATATACAGCAAAAACAAAACTAATGGTACATATAGTGCAAACAATAGAAGTTCATTGTGTTGGTAAATTGTTTCTTTTCTAATACTTTCTCACATAGGATTTCCTTGTCCTGTAATATAAGTAGTCCTCAACTTATGACTTATGAAAAAGTCAATCTTCTTCCCCTGCAGATGTCAGGATGCAGAGGCCTTTGCTCTACTCCAACAGGGTCCATGCACTACACAGGTTTCTCATGTGCATGCTAATTCTTTTCCAGGTTGTTGTGCCCCATCTGTGCATGGGGAACATGGCTCAGAGAGTGGCGGTGGCTCTGGGAAAGGCATGGCAGAACAGGAGGGAGGAAAACAGCAACCACACTCCCTCTTCCTTTTCCTCCCCTATCTTTTACTCTTTGCCTCCAGCTGATCTCTCTCTCGCCCTCTTCCTCTGCTTTTTTCTGCTGTTCTCACTCATTCTCACAGTAAGGTGCCTCCACCTTTCATACACCTTCACACATATGAACATTCTCCTTTTCCTCATTTCTGCCTTTCCACACACACCCACATGCATATGCAGGCTCATACCACCCTCCTGAGCAGAGATGAGCCTTCTTTAGCTCCTTCTTTTCCTTTCATCTCCCTTCCAGGCCTGCCTAGGTAACTGTTATGTATATGTAAATAACGTAGTTGGGTTGACAATATATAAACTACAAATATATATGTTTGTAGCTTTAAGGAAAAATACTGTAATGTATTGTGCTGTGTTCTGATTGGTTAATTATGCTTCAAGTTGCCATAAGAGGGAGCTATAGATCATGGTTTAATTCTCTTTCTCTTTTTCACTGATGATCTCTCTTGATACTGATGCTGGCTGACTATGGACCGATACTGACTAACCATGTTTATTTTAATATTCTGTTGATATCAAAGATTATCTGTTGTATTATGGTTTGATATTTGTCTGCTGTAAAAGACGTGAAACCGATAAGAAGACTTTATAACTGGATATTTCTGGACTGTTAAAAACGTGTATGACATGGACTGTTTATTGGACTGTGCTATTTCTTCAAGTAAACATTAATACAACTTGTTCAACTCTGTGTGGCTGTATATTTATTCGTAACTGTTCTCATAAACCATTTCCGTGTGCATATCCTTTTTATACAAGGGTTACTCTGCACATATCCTAACAATAACTATCATGCTGATTTGCCTCTCTGTATTCCTCTTTTTACACTCTTTCTCTTCTCCCCCCCTCCTTTTCTCTTCCCTCCCCATTGCACACCTACTTATCTTGCATCCGCTTTCACATCCTCAATGCCCCTGAAACCCAAAGAGCAGTGGCGGCAGAAACAGCACCAGCAGCAAACAACAAGTCCTCCTTTTCACTCCCTTTGCTGCTTCTCTTTTGGACCCAGCTACTCCAGCGAATATTTCCTATACATATAAGCAATTTCTTTAGCCATAGGTATAGGAAATTGTAACTGGAGAAATTGAGTGTCAGGGTTCCAAGCAGGGAGGATTTTATTTAAATTAAGTTGATTTAAATCATGATTAAATCATGATTTAAATCACTAGTAAAAAGGCTTGATTTAAATTAACTCGATTTAAATCATAAATTTTAAAGAGCAACTGTCATCTGTGGCCCCCAGCAGCTTCTCCTCTGACCTTCTGTTGACATGCTATATAACTAAACTCCATTTCATGCCTAATAGACTAAATTATTAATGTATCTTAAATAGAAAAACGTCTTTAGATTTTTACTCCAAAAGCATTTTATTAAAATAAATTTGATAAAAATAAAAAAAATCCTATTTAAAATTTAAAAATCCAATTTAAATAAAAACCAATTTGATTTTTTTAAAAAGAATCATCAATTTTTATCCACCCTGGTTCCAAGTAACAAACCCAAGGCAATCAAAACTCTGATGCCTGGAGTTTCCTCAGTATGAAATTATTAGG